TACAACCAAACACACCCTTAATTATTCCAAATTTTGTTTGTATTTTTTTTTCTAAATTTTTTTTTAAAATGTTAAATGTTTACACTTTGATATATTTTTTTAATAAACTAATGTATTACACGGATCTTACACCTAGCTGTGTATTAAACAAAATAGTGACCATCTTACGTGGGTGATGGATGGAGACCTTGGCCTTTTTATTTATTTCATGTGTAATAATACGAAACTAAAGTTAAAATAGGTTTAATATCTTTTATTTACATATGATATTTTGTATTTGGCAAACAATGATAAATTTAAAATGTTATTTTATATTTTAAATACAATATATAGTTTGTTTTTGTATATAGAATTTTATTTTGTATAATGGAACATGAAATGTTTGATTTAATTTGAATATTACTAAATTTAGAAAAAATAATACTTTTTAAGAAAGGGTGAAATCATGACATATAAAATTTATCAAAAATCATTACATGTAAATGTCTATCGTAATTAAAGAATGTCAAAATTTTATGATTTATAAATGGTTGGTCATAAATTTATTTATGTCATCATTCATTTATAACAGGAGATTCAGTAACATATAGTTGTTTGTCATATGTACCATTCATTTAATGACACATAATGTCATTAAAAGTCTTTTTTCTAATCCCTATTCCCTATCCCTAATAAAAGCCTCTCTAAACTGCCACATAATACCTTTCTAAGCTATGTTTTTGGCACATGACATTCTTATGTTAACCCTATTTTTTTTCCCGATGCTCTTCAATATTCAATTTCATTCCTAGAAATAAGGAAACACAAATATGTGGGGACCCTTCTTCAAATGCTCTTCAATATTCAATTTCATTCCTAGAAATAAGGAAACACAAATATGTGGGGACCCTTCTTCAAATCAGCAACGTAACATTAATGGTAATCCAATTAAATCCCAAATAATTAGGGAGATAGTTATTTCAAATCCCACAAAATAGCAACGTCGCCGTTTGCTTGCCTCCATCGCCACCATCACTCCTTTTTTAGGGTTCGCTACCCGTCTATTTCCATTGTTTGTTGTCTACATTGTTTCTAATAATTCTCATAATCCCTGATTATTTGGGACTGAAATTAACAATCTTTTCCGTTTTCTAATCGAATGCTACAAGGAAAGAGTTGATTCCGGTCATCGCTCAATCACTTCCGTCATACAACCTTCAGTACCACAAACCACCCACCAATCCATTCTCTCTCAAAACCTAGCACCGCTAACCATTATTTTGCCGCCTTCACCACCATGTGCAGCCGTCAACATGACCACCATAGACAATGATTTTCTCTAAAAACCATATACCACTACCGCTCACTGATTTCGACGTCACCATTTTGGTCTTCCATCTCCATATCTTCCGAATTATGAGCATGGGCATAAACAATCGAGATGAAACATAGAATTGACCTCAAGTTTATTTTTCAAAAACCTACAGGTTAACAACGATTCTCTTAAATCCTTTTTTTAAACCCTTGAATACTTTTATTTTGTTTTATTTTGTGTTCTTTGGATTAATTTTTGTTCTGCCTTTTGTTTACCATTGATTTGCCCTGTTTTTAGTTCCAATCAATCCTTTCATTATGGAACGCTGTTGTTGAATATTTATTTTTATATAGGACGAAACAATAAAAATGATTCACCCTTTAAGCCAAAGGTATTGCAATCTATTTTCCAAATTGACGACTTTTCTATAATTCATGAAATGTTATTTACCATTTGTTTCAGATGTTGTTATACACATTGATTATCCCCATCTGTTGCTCTTTTCTTATATCACACCTATTGCTCGATAATGGAAGATAATGGAAGGAAGAATGATATGCTTCTTGGTTTTGCATCTTATGAACGAATCTCTTAAGACCTGAATTTGAAATCTTGATCTCCCATAAAAAGACAAAGAAATTTTGATTTCCCTTTCGCAATATCCTCCAGATTATCGTCACATGTTCTACTTCCTCAAATCTAATTATTTTCAAGCTTCTTGAACACATTAATAGTAGTTACTTCAAATTTTATCCATCCACTTAAACCAGTTTTGTATTCTTCTTGGGATACTTTTTTAATATTTACAATTTTCGTAATCATCCAACCAGTTCACTTCTGAGGTATATTACTCTTTTGAGTTTTATTTTGGATTATTTTTTATAACATTATTGCATTCTTGACTTTTTTTTTTGCTTTATTGTTGAACATATGTTTTGAGGTTATACTTTACCAGACTCGTGGTGATTCAAGAACCAGTTAAACCTACTAACTCTGATCAAGGCATCTAAAAGGTATTCTATTGCTTTTGACCTTTTTTCATGCTACCTGTATTACCATATGTTCTCTATGTAACTGTGTGTGATGTTGCTAACTAACACTTCTTCTCTACCATCTTGACAGATGTTATTTTAATACAATTAGCTATATTAGACTTGCCTAATGATAACTATAATGTTTTATTATTTTTTTCGAGTTGTAACTTATAAAACTATCTTCGATCATCAATACATATTTTATATTACGATTGTAATATTAGGTATGACAATTTAAATCGAAAGCAAAGGAGAAACTATGTAGATTTACAAAACATCCCTTGTGGTATTCACCTAAATACTGAAGAATCATTTTGAAGGTCGGTCAAGCATATGTTGTTTCCATGTAATTCTTAGTAGATCTAAATTTTTAGATAAATTTTTGGCTAAAACAAGTTTACTTTGCACTTTATAGGCGTTGTGAATGGCTCTAGAAGCTATAATTTATTATTAAACATGATGAATATTCTAAAGTAGAGTATGTCATTGTTTTTAAAAAATGATGCGATTGTTGCTGACTCATCATCATCATATGAGAACACTCAACTTGAAAGCAAGGTTTCTTGGATTTTTTAGTTTTATCAGTTTCACATATAAAAGATAGATTAGAAATTGGTATGTTTGAAAGGATCTAAAATGGTGAAATTTAATATTTTTATAATGCAAAATGTAATTCCATTTTAATTTTGGTTATATTGTTGTTTTGATGTGTAGATTTATAGAGTTTGGAGTGGCCATAGATAACATACTTTAAGCTCCTGTTCTTTTGTTTACATTGATGTTTCATAAAATGTAGAAAATGCAGATCTTATTTCTTGTACCTATCAACGATACAACCTAACGAGCATCTTATATGATTGTTATTCTTATATTCAATGTATCAAATTAAAATTTTCCATACTAAACTATTATGTTTTTCTTATTAATCGTGATTTAAATAAAATTATTTATTTCTTATAACCATTTCAAATATTATTTATAAACAATGATGATAAACTTACCAATATGCATCAATCATTATATATAAATTTTGTGAGCAATTATATTATTAAATAATTTTCTTTTCTTATCGTATAATTTTTTTTATCGTCAACCGTGTAGCACACGGGTTATAACCTAGTAGTAGTACATAGATCTTGTGGACTCAAATTGCGATTTTTGTTGCAGTTTGTATTCGTACATTTACCTTTAACACGCTTTGGATCCATATGGTGTTTAAAATGAGATAATGAGAGAGTTAGAAGAAGTTTCTGGTGTGATAAATTGAGAGATTTATGTTGGTATTCATAATGGTTTAAAAAAATAAAAAATCTAATCGTTTATAGCCATTAGAGAGGTGATGGATGCATTAAATGTTGAAGCAAGGTCGAGGGAGGAAACCCGCATGCCTACGGTCCCACACAAGGTGGGCGGTGTTTTCCCGCCATTCCCTCTGTTAGTTTGACATTCTTTTCTATTTTTCTTTCTTTTCCATAAAAATATATATAAATATCGACGTTGACTTTATATATTAAGCAGACATTTTTCATAATGTTTTCTTTTTCATCGCTAAAAATTATTTAACAACTTTTTAAAAGGCAAACAACATTAAAATTAATTGAATAATTTAAAAGTTCATTCAAAAATTAAAAATTTGAACTACTATAAAAAGAACTACAAAGAACCATGACAAGGGGATTACAACAAAATTCTAGGCAACAACTTTAAATATGGCATGTTAAATTATTTAACTACATTAAAAACAACATTACAAAGATGAAATATACGATGTCAAAATGTATGATCGAGCGATCGAGCGTGTGATGTCACCTTTATTATACTTTTTCGTAATCTCAATTTTATTATTATTCATGGTTTTGTGCCACACAAAAAGAATGGTCACCAAATAAAAACTTAGAACTTTCGATGCGAACTTTCGGCTTCGTCATTGTTTAAAATGTTGTACGTTTGCTGCAATATTTTACCAACCCTGATAACAACTTCAATTGTAATTTGAAATTCTTTAGAGGATGAAGATGAAGACATTTTCAAATGAGAACAGAGACTCGGTAAAATAATAAGGGTTGTGAATATTTATAGAACATAAACTTTGAAAAAAATAATTAAAAATTAAATGAAAGTAGCCGTTTGGAAGAAAGAAAGTGGAATAAATGAGAAGAAAGACTCGCTAAAGAATACCAGAGTTTGGCTCCACCACAATGGGAACCGTAGACCATGATGGTGTGGGCCACGGTTTAGGTGGTGATGTGCCTACCACACCCACATCCCATAGCCTAATTAAGAATCAAAATATTATAAACCCTTTTTATGAAGTTGGTTATGCTCTAAAAGGGACGGAGAGCACTTTGAGAAGTTTAATGCTAAAGAAGACGAGCAATATATATATATATATATATATATATATAT